GTAGCACAAATGTAGTTAGAAATCTTTAATCTTAGAACTTTTGTTTTCTAAAAATGTAATAAAGTTTCTACTCTGACGTTATTGAAATAAAAAAAAAAAAAAAAAAAAAAAAAAAAAATAGAAAATTTTGTATAACTATAATAGAAATAATCAAAAATCATGATGGAAATAGGTTTTAATAACCTAGTTAGATGGAATTTAAAATTATGAATATAAAATTAAAAATGATAAACATGAATATATACAGTTATATATACCATTATATAAAATAAAGTTTAAAATATTAAATAAAATACAAAGTTTATCAGATATGTTAAAAAAAATAAGCTAAAATATTAATAATCTATTATTATTATACTATATATATAGTTTAATATATAATAATTTCAAATATATAGACGAACTCAAAACAATACAAACAATAAGAATATATTAGTATTTGATGAATTTTATAATAAAAAGATATAAATAATAGAATATGTGCAAATTGCAAGTAATATAACACTTTTTATGCTTGATATTAAATGAATAACCTTCAAAAATCAATATAAGAATTGACAAGTAGAAATAAAAATATTGATGAGTGCATTAAGAAATTTTAACTTAAAGTAACAAAATAAAACATATAGATGTAATTAAATGAATTCTTTAATAGTTTAGTTAATATTCAAATGATTGGTAAAGGAGGGTTTGATACTGTATTTTCTGCAATGTGGTTAAATAGTAAAAAAACAGTTTTATATACTTCTAGTAAGTTTATACAATCATACACAACATCAGTTCACAAATGAATTTTTTAAGAGATATATGCTAAAATGTTTTATTTATGATCTAATATAAATAAATTATAAACTATGAACATTATAAATTTTTGTTTCAAATTAACAAATTTAAAAGTTACACAGAATTAGGTTAGTGGAATAACTAGAGATAGGACACTGCGCAGGCATTTTTTGAGGCTGCGCAGTGCAATTTTTATAATTCTGGCCAGCTGGCATAATTCTGGCCAGCTTTATAATCCAGGTTTGAATTACCAATCGGAAATCGGTTCAGATCGGCTCGAAAGAAAAACGGATCTGCATCACTTGATTAATAGAATCCATCGCTCATAATTTGGTCAAACCTGCAGATCATTTGAACACATTTAAAGTTGTTTTGTTCTAGATCTGGCCAAATAATCTGCAAATTTGACCAGAATTATCAATTCACCGATATGCAGAGAAAAACAACAAAAACTAACATTTAACTAACCTTGGAGCATTAATTAAAAATGATGGGAGCCCAACTTTACACATATGAAGTAGATGTTTTATATATATAAATGCGAAACCTAATGAGTAAAAATCTCTAGGGACTGAGGTTGTGTGGGCTGTGCAGGCTGTGCAGGCTGTGCAGCCTGCGCAGTAGTTTCAAAAAAACCTCAATTTTCCCATCTCTAGGGATAACAGTATAATAAAAAACATTTATTAGAACCCGCATCAGAAATAGTAAACTACTTCCATAAAGAACATAAAAATTTTTATTATAAGAACTGTCAGTTCATTATGCGAAAGTTAACTTTACACATATACTATTATTCATATGCCAATAAAAAATAAAGGTGACTCATATTTAGAAATACAAGAAAACAGCATATTTACGTTATAGTGAAATTCCCACTACACCTATAGGCTCGGAATGCTAGACTCAAAAATATTATATAATTAATTATAATATATCAAGAGTTCATTCTGACAAAAGTGAGCTATATTTGGTAATGGTTCTTTTAGTTATTAACTCACGAGTGTACTTTTAGAACTCTACAACCTTTTATGGTTTCGTTTTAATTATTTATTTATATTAATTTGGTTCATGATTGAAAGTTTACTATAACGAGTTTATGAACTTTGAAATTTTAAATTTGATAATCGAGGTTGTAAAATGTAGATTTTGTATACTTAATAATTCAATATCATTTGAACAATTTAATTCATGTTTACCGTTCACTTTAAAACTGATCAAGATTATTATTTATAAATCAAATTTATCTTTAGAATCAGACTACTGAATAATTGATTGTGATCGCAATTAATTTCAACTATTCAAAACCCAATTAATCGATTGGTGGTGAAGTCACAGAAAGCCGTTTAATTGCAATTTCTGAAGTTGTTTGAAAAATGTAACGACTTGATAAAATATGTAATAATAAACATAAGATATTTGATGTCAAAACTTGTAGTTTTGAATTAAATTGTACAAATCATGAGAACATTAATTTACATTCCTTTATAAAGGCATGTATATAGTACAGCATTCTAAATCTTTTTTTTAAATCAGTTTCAATAAATGCCAAATTTCTAAACAAATGTTACATAAATGCTTTTTCAGACCTTCAAATGACGACAGACATTAGTGTAATTTACGTTCTTCCAATCATAATCGGTAGCGTTCTTCCAGATCATAGCCGATGTCAAAAAGATATTTTTTTTAGACCTTAATGATGGCGGGCATTAATGCAATTTATGTTCTTCCAGATCACACTCGAAAATCAAAAGATGCTCTTTTTAGACCTCCAAATTATGATAATCATCAGCATAACTTACATTCATTCACGATGCTTTTTTCAGTACTTCAAACGATCGAAAATATCAGTGCCCTTCCAGCCATAGTTGATAGTGTTCTTCCAGACTATTTTATATATAATATATTATGAGTACAGTATGCTAATTTTATATACTCAAATGAACAGTACACTCCACTACTTTACTAAACCATACACCACTACTATTAGGAATACCGTTCACTAAGCCGTGTAATATTTTAAACCGGTTATAAATCGTTACGTATATCACTTAATTCAACGATCACCCGATGATCAAAAAAACCAAATTTCTATCGTCTTTGACGATCAGCGGTTATCATTCCATCAACCCAATAAAAATCCTACGCAAAAAACAAAAAATACCAAATATCAGTAAATACGCAAATTAATTTGCACCGGGTTACCAATTTTTGCGTCTGAAATTCTTTTTTAATTATCGTTAGTTATCACAACTACGACATCGTTTACGTTTTCATTTTTTGTATTCAAGTTATACTCGTTGATCTATATGCGTGATGAATTCTTGTGTGAATAAGTCATGCGGACCAATCAAACTTAAGATTTTGCGGACACAAACACTTATTGCACCTTATAAGCATACACTTCGTGATTTCATCAATCCGTTCTTAAATTTTGTATCACACGTATGTACGTACAGATATATGGAACGAGAAACAAAAAAAGTTATACAAATAACATCAATCACTAAGAATTGCCCCACTTAATGCAGTCCGGATATGTTAATGTAGGTCAAATGATAACATAATGCGGGATCGCACGCGGATCCCGACATCACTAGCTGCGGCTATTCAATGGGTATGTAGCCTTTATAACGAACTTTACTACAAGAGTTTCAAACCCAGAAATGGCCGGCCTGGGATTTCAACCCCGAAACCGAGCCTTGGATTTCGAATCCATGCCACTCTATTATTACCGTATGTCATTAAATATAGAAAATTAAAGAAAATTAAAATAATATATAGTTATTCAATGATTTACTATCTCAGTTTACGGAATAAGATCAACAATTTTATTATATAAAAAGTGTCAAAATAATTTATTTTGTAGACTGACCATAATAAAGCATTGAATAATAACGACATTACTTGCAAAAAAAGTTTTATCGTAATATCGGACTTCGCCTGAATTTAGAACGGCATAAAAAGGTCTTCCACTCCGCTCTAGCCCAATAAGCAATGAATTTTTATTTACGTCATTTATAATACTGCGCTTTTTAATGGAAGCTATATTTAGTTTTATAGAAGATGAGTATGGTGTTCTTTATATGAGCGCCACATTGCAACCCTTAATTTTCGGAAATTTCACGCAGTTTTTATAAAGTGAATTTCGGAAAATATTTTTGCTTTGCGGTAGTCATATGCGCAAATGTCGTTTAAAATTGTTTTATAATTAGCACGATTAAACAGTTAAACTATAGAGAACTTTTAAGCAGATCCACTTCATACTTATATTTCATTAAATAGGCGATGGGAGTACAGTTTCAGTGAAAATACGTTTTTCAAATTTATTATAATCATAGCTTCATTATATTGTTTAATAATTATTCCTATATGTATTTATTTGAATTCGGAATATTCCAGAATCTTCGATTTCACATGATGATCTGCAGAAATCACAAAATACTTAAACGTAATTGATTGTTATCAGTTACTAAATTGATTTATGCTGGCCAATCAGAGTTAATATGTATATATTTTGCTGCAAGGGTATTTACTCGATTAGGGATGATTGATTTTTTTTTGACCCTTAAAGATTTTCAAGGGGTAAAGGTACATGACAGTTTGACATATGTTAGACGTGCAGAATTAAATTAGAACATGACAGTATGCGTATATTTTGTCAGGGTGACGTTCATTGGACATTGAATACGGCGGAAGGTGTCTTTTAAGATGTAAATTGTATCTAACGAAATTGTTTGATCAAATTATGATCAGAAAGAATTGACTTTAAATTGGGACTTTAATACTTATCTATAATATTCTTATCATTGTAATAACTTTTTTGGTATCCAGTCAACCTGATTTTGGAATTCTACTGCGACCATACTGTATTATTACATAACTCCATTTCTATTATATAGATAACTGTAATCATAATGCGTACGTACGTACAGTACGTAAGTGCACTGCTACTAAAAATAGATTGATTCGGGCGCATGATCCGAATCTAACAATGGGCTTATTCAAATATTGTGGTAACCGAAAATCAGGTTCTGTGGAAAACTATACATATCCCTGTTATTGCTTATTTTGTGTCACCATTGCTCACATATAAATATTTCTTATTTTTTTAGTATCATCTTTGCTTTTTATTTTTTATTTATATTTGTTTATTTATTTTAATAATAAAATAGAAATTTTTTTATACTTAAAACATGTCTAATAAAGAACTATCAAAAACTAATAATTTGTCTGAAAGTGATATTAATATTTCACAGTCTTACCATTATAAAGAAGATAATACGTCACAAGATTTCCTAGACGAAATTACTGAAAAATTATGTGATTTATATATAGAAGAAGAAAGAAAAGGAAATCTTGCTCCATCAATTCTTGGTTCAATAGAAAAATTTTTAATAAATGAGCAACAAAACCCGGACAATATAATTAAATTATGCATAAATAACAACCCTAATTATATTATACAAAATATTCTTGGTTATTGTTATCTAATAGGAAGATGGGTCGAAGTGGATGGTAATAAAGCTTATAATTATTATAAAACTTCTTCTGAAATGGGAAGTTCAACTGGCATGAATAATATTGGTTGTTGTTATCAACTTGGAATTGGTGTTGAAATAGATAAACAGAAAGCATTTATTTATCATCAAAAATCTGCCGAGATGGAAAATCCATACGGTTTAAATAGTCTTGGTGATTGTTATCGTGATGGAATTGGTGTTGAAAAAGATGAACATAAAGCATTTACTTATTATAAAAAGTCATCTGAAATGGGTCATGCTCTTGGTGTATATAGCCTTGGAGATTGTTATCAAAATGGAATTGGTATTGAAAAAGATGAGCGTAAAGCATTTTTTTATTATCAAAAATCTGCAGAGATGGGAAATTATCTTGGAATGGCTTTGCTTGCCTATTGTTATGAAAAAGGAATTGGAATAGAAAAAGATGAACTTAACGCATTCGTCCATTATAAATTGTCGGCTGATATTGGACATGCTGATGGAATATGTAAAGTTGGAAACTGTTATCAAAGTGGAATTGGTGTCGAAAAGGACGTGCATAAAGCATTCGTCTATTATCAAGAATCTGCAAAAAAAGGTAGTTCTAATGCCGTATCTTGTATTGGTTATTGCTATCAAAAAGGAATTGATGTTAAAAAAAATGAAAAAGAAGCATTAATTTATTATCAAAAATGTGCTGATATGGGGAATGCTATTGGTGTATATGCTCTCGGTTATTGTTATGAAAATGGAATAGGAACTACTAGAGACAAACAGAAGGCGTTTTCACTTTATCGAAAATCTGCTGATATGGGTGATGCTAATGGAATGTTTCGCGTTGGTCATTGTTATCAAAATGGAATCGGAGTCAGAAAGAATGAACGCGAAGCATTTATATGTTATCAAAAATCTGCTGATATGAGAGGTGCTAGTGGATTCAATGGTATTGGATATTGTTATCTATATGGTATTGGAGTTGAAAAGGATAAACATAAAGCATTTATTCATTTTAAAAAGTCTGCCGATATGGGTGATGCTACTGGTACATACAATCTTGGTTATTGTTATCAAAAAGGTGCTGGAATTGAAAAAGACGAGCATCAGGCATTTGTTTATTATCAAAAATCAGCAGAGATGGGAAATACTAATGCGATGTCGTGCGTTGGCTATTGTTATGAAAGAGGAATTGGAATTGAAAAGAATGAACATAAAGCTTTTACGAACTATAAAAAATCTGCTGACATGGGTAATATTAGCGGAACTTCCAGGCTTGGTAATTGTTACCTTCATGGAATTGGAGTTAAGAAAGACGAATATAAGGCATTTGTCTGGTTTGAAAAATCTTGTGAGATGAAAAATTGCAAGAAGTAATGTTTAGACTGACTATTAATATAAAAATGTAATTAAACAATTAGAACATTTAAGATCAATAGTGTCGTTAACATAAATAGCCAATTTTATAAACATTCCCATTTATATGGTAATTTGAAAGTAACAAATGAGTTAGTTAATGAAAATAATTATCACGGGGATGAACACGATGATTAGCTAAAAAGTCAATATTTGTTGCTCTAGGTAAAAACATTCAGGACACTAAAAGTTTCTTTAATTCTGCCTTTTAGACCTTATCTCTAAATTTTACCAATAAAAATTTTGTAATAAAATGACAAATATTTGTAAAAACATTACAGATATTTCAAATTTAAGGTTTTTTGTTGCAACATTAGGTCTTTCAAAGTTAATTAGTTGGCTAACTTCAATATTTTGGGTTCAGAACGGAAGATTTAAACAAACATATATATGCCCAAGGATATTTGATTAAATTTTATTGGTCAACTTTTATCACATAATTAATGAAATCTTTGCTGTGTTGTGATTGGCTTGTTTAATTTCGGAGGAGATGACGTTAACCAACTAACCAACTAATCAACTTTGAATGACCTTAAGTAGTCAGATAAAAAAACAAACTTTTTAAAATATTTATAACATTAAAACTACTACTATTTTATGGTTTATAAGATGAATAAATTATTTATCTATATTTTTTGTTTTAAAATTCAACTAAGTTGAAATATTTAATCAACCCTTAATAATTTTAAATTCTATAATTTGTGTAATAATTTAGCTTATTGAAATTGTATAATTAAAGATAAAGACAATTGATATTTTAATAGTATTTCAAAACAAGATACAACTATTTATGAAATAAACACTGAAAAAATTAAATTTGTTAAGTAGTACATGAAAAGGTTACTGTTACATATCTTTGGCTACTAGGACTATTCCAAATATGGTAATTGTCTAAAGCAGAACTACCCATCAAATTTTCACTTTCATATAATAATTATTCAATAGCAAGCCTTGATTTAATGTAACATTACATGATTATGAAAATTAAACAAAACATCTATTTTTCAAAAATTATCTACTTTTCAAAACTTGAATAAGAATTATCTTTTGTGTTCTAACAAAAATTCTTTAAAAAATTTTACTATTATTTCTAAATCTACTATATATACTTTTGGTCCAACTTCACAGAATCTAAATAAGGATATGCATAATAATATTTTTTTTGTATTAAAGTAGCAATCTTGCCTTTCTGTCTTTATTGAGTAATATATTGTTATATAATTATATACAAAGTTTATTAATAAAAGTACAACTAGTTACATGTATAACTTTAGTTATTATCTAATTAAGGATCTGCCTAAGAGTTACTCACTAGCTGTTATATTTGAGATTTGCCTGTGAATCCCCTATTTAAACTTTCTGGTTTCAATTCTATTACATATATACAACACTTACATTGCCATATAGACATATCAAGTTAGAGTTATTTAATTACTATTTATATCAAGATACCATCACATTGGATGTTACTAGATATTCATAGTCTCTTAAATTTACCCTTGATGCAGACTTACTAAGTATAGTATTAAGATTACTCTTTAGATTTATTCAATTTAGTAGATTACATATCTACTAAACCAGTTTGGTATTAGAAGTGTTTAAATTTCAGTTAGTCTATTCCTTTTCTATAGTTTTTCTTTTATGTTTACTGTATCATCTGCTAGTGCACCTTCTCTTTATTTCTGATATGTTCTTTGCTTCTCTCATATCAAGTGTCAATTTTCCATATTAGGAAATTTCTTTCTAAGAACTTTCTTATACACTAATCTTATAATGACATAGGTTTGACTATAGGGTTTCATGTACATTCATATAATTTCATAGATTACAAAGTTTTTACCTCTAGTTAAAATTGAACTATTGATCTTGTCTGTGAAGAGAAGGGTGACTAGACCATTAGCCTATAGGATTTCATCCTGAATATGCATAATAATTAAAAACAATATTTAGTTTTATATATATAATATATTTATATAACCTGGTAGTACTATTGTTATAAGTCTGTTTTTTATACATGATTACAAATTTAGAATTATATTTGTATACTTTTCATTAATTAATATTGTTAATTATAAGTTTATCTCTTAAACTATTTTTTAGACAAGTTTGCTTGGATTTTTAAATTAAATTTTGTTTTTTTTTGGTATTAAGGTGAGGCCTTGCTCATATTTTTATTAGTAATTTTAGTTGTACATATTAATATACTATAT